TGTAGACTATGTCACTAAAATACTAAATATTTATATGGTCATTTTAGAGTTGCCAACAGAAAGGGAGGGGGAAAGGGCAGTGCGGCAGCTTGGAAATCAAAAGTGCATTCCTTACATAGTTTTTCAGAGATAGTAACTAGGTGACTGAAGTTTCTGCCTCACAAAAATCTAACTGGAGAACATGATTGATGACTCTTGGATTCTCCATAGAGCTGCTGCGAGCATCCAGAGTGGGAGGTGCTCTAGTCTCGGCTCTCACAGGCTGAGCTTAAATTGAGGAACGCTCCTCCCCCATCACGTGGTCCACCATAGTGCTCCCCAGTTTTAGCTCAGCCTCGTGTGAGACAGGCTGTTTATCTTTGAGCTCTTGGCCGACTCAGGATTCTCTTCTTCCTCAGGTTGGATCGTTTCTTTTCTTTAACTGCGCAGTGTTTCCTTGGGGTCTATAGCCTCCCTAGGGGAGCGTTCTTTTCCCCACCTCGGGGGGTGATAATCGGGCGGAATCCCAGCACTTCACGCTGTTGCCCCCTCCACCATCGTATCAAGCAGTTCTCTCCATGTCACTTTCCTTCGCTATTTCCATTAGCGGTTTGCCTTCCTGCCTCCCAAACAGTTGTTTCCTTCCCACTGAATGCCGCTCTACCAGGGGAGAGCTAACCTCCTGAGATCCTGGATAGAGTTAGCCATCCACCAGGGAATTGTGGAAGGTCTCCAGCAGATGGCCAGACTGGCCTTCCAGCCTATGGCCCCTGAACCCCAGTCTCCATCTGCCAGATCTCTCCCCAGAATGGATCTTTCCCATGGTCAGGTACTCTCTCAGAGGGACCTCCCTCTTTCTCATGGGGTGGAGGAGGAGGAGGAGCAGGAACAAAGGGACCCGATTCAATTCGGGGATGAAGAAGACTTTGAGTTGGGGTCCATGATCTATAGCGAACCCCTCTCGGGGGCGGACCCAATGGAGGGAGAGATGTCAGAGGATGAAGGCCTCACCCCTGACCAGCCCGCCTTCGTAGGGTTGTTCAAACTGCACCTTTTCAAATCCATTCTTTTCAAGGCCAAAAATATATCAGGCCTGACCACCCAGCCTCCCTCTGAGTCCCTCCCCGCAGCCTCAGGGGGTCCCGATGACTCTATCTTTAGGCAGCCGGTAGTGGAGGCCGAGGTCATCCCAGCCCCACCTATTTTCTCTGATCTGGTCTCTAAGCAGTTGGCCTCCACAGGGGCGCCCCCAGCCCCCTCCAGCCAGTACAAGAGGTTTTTCAACCTTGATGCAGGCTTCTTTCTCCTGTTAGACACTTCCATGGTCGATGAACCCATAGTGGGCCTGGCGTCTTCCTCGACCCCGAGCGATGCCCTGGAGGCCCTAAAGCCAGAGGACAAGCGGGCCGAGCTGGCCTTATTCACCAATCTGATGCCTGGGCCATTAGATCGGCCACGGCCACATCCTTCTTCACCAGATCCTCAATCCGGTGGCTCCACCAGCTAAAACAACATGTCCCCGCGTCCAACATTAGGGCGCATCAGGACATTGCAAAGCTCATGGCCGCGGCCAAGTTCTCGGCCTATGCCACCTACCAGTCTGTGAAGTTTTCCACCAGGGCCATAACATCGCATGTTACAGCTCGCTGCTTGCTCTGGCTCCGCCATTGGCAAGCGGACATTAAGAACAAAATAAAATTGGCATGTGCTCCCATTTCAGGAGGTAAATTATTCGGTTCAGCCCTTGATCCCTTATTGGTCGAGAGTCGGAATAAGAGAAAATATCTCCCCTCTCTTTTTCAGAGGTCTGATTCCAGGGCCCCCTTGTCTTTTCGACGAGGATCCTTTCATCCCTCCTCCCAGACCTCTTTCCCCATCAGATACCAGAGGTCTTCCTCCTACCAGCCGCCCCCCTCCCAGGATCAAACCGACTCCACTGATAGGAATAGAAGGGGCGGCTCCTCCAAAAGACCCTTTTGGGGATCAGGGAACAGGCCTTTTTGGCGCTCCAGATAACTCAATCCACTCCCTTCCCATCGGCGGACGTCTCAGGCATTTCGCCAGCCAATGGGAGGCCTCCACATCCGATGCCTGGGTCAGAGACACTGTTCGATTTGGTCTTGCCCTCAAATTTCAGTCCCCCCCTCCCGACTTCTTTATGACTTCCCCCCTTTCCAGAGACTGTACCAAGTGCATCCTCATGGAGGCCGCCATTTGGCACCTCCTCGACATAAAGGCTATTCAACCCGTTCCCGCCGCTCAACGAGGACGGGGCTTCTATTCTCATTTGCTTCTATTCCAAAGCATTCAGGGGGATGGAGGGTGATATTAGATTTAAAACGACTCAATCGCTACTTGTCTCCCCGCAAATTTAAAATGCACACATTACAATCCATCCTTTTGGGAACCAGACGAGGGGACTGGCTCACTTCAATTGACCTCTCAGAGGCGTACTTGCACATCGCAATTTGGCCCTCTCACTTCAAATTCTTATGTTTCTCCTATAACAAACAACACTTCCAGTACATTGCCCTTCCCTTTGGATTAGCCTCAGCCCCGAGAGCCTTCACCAAGGTCCTAGCGGCCCTGGCAGCCCACCTTAGGAACCTCCCAGTCCGCCTCCACTGCTATCTGGATGACATTCTCATCCTGTCCCCCTCCAAAACTCAAGCAGAAAGAGACACCAGAATCACTCTCTCTGCTCTCCAGGACCATGGGTTCCTGATAAACTGGAAAAAAAGTCACCTATCCCCATCTACCCGGCTAACCCATTTGGGGGCGGTGATTGACACTGTTCAAGAGTTGGTTTTCCTGTCTCTGGAAAGACTCTTTAGCATTCAAAGATCCGTGCATCAAATTAGGCAGTCAAAAAAGGTTTCTTTATTAGACTTGTCAAAGTTACTCGGCAAAATGGTTTCATGCATCTCTATTGTTCCCTGGGCCCGTTTCCATACCAGATCCCTTCAATGGTTCCTGCTTCTGTACCAGCGATCCGGAAGGAGCAACCCAAGGTTCATGGTCAGGGTACCTCCAAGAGTCCTCACGTCCCTCCTCTGGTGGACCAGACCGGCCATCAACAAGGGCCACTACTTCAAGGAGCCCCACAGGCTTACCCTCACTACAGACACCAGCCTGTTCGGATGGGGCGCACAGGTCCATTCTCTCACATCCCAGGGCAGATGGTCAACAACAGAACGACTCTGCAGCATAAATTGGTTGGAGCTCCACGCCGTATACCTGGCACTTTGCAGTTTCCTCCCTCAGGTACGCAGGCGACACGTCCTGGTCCTCACGGACAACATGACGGCCAAGGCCCATATCAACAGACAGGGGGGCACTCAATCGATTCGGCTCATAAGGGAGGCCGAACGCCTATGTCGCTGGGCGGAAGCAAATCTCATTTCCATCAAAGCAGACCATATCTTGGGGGCATTAAACACCAGAGCAGATTGGCTCAGCAGGGCCACGATAGACAGGCAGAGTGGTGCCTCCACCCATCTCTGTTCAGGGAGGTGTCCTCAATCTTCGGACTTCAGAAATTGGACCTTTTTGCATCCCCCCTCAATGCCCAGCTCCCAAGGTTCTTCTCCAGGTACCCCTCTCACGGGGCGGAGAACCACAATGCTCTGCATTGCCCCTGGCCCCCAGGACTTCTTTACGCCTTCCCCCTGCTGGCCCTCATCCCCAGGGTCATCCACAAGCTAATCCTGGAACAGGCAGAACTCCTTCTGGTTTGCCCCCTATTGGCCCAGGCGTCCGTGGTTTGCAGACCTCTGCAACCTTTCAGTGCCCCCCCTCGGAGGATCCCTCCAGACAGGATTTCACTGTCTCAAGGCCCACTTCTACACCCGGAACCTCAATGGCTCCAATTAGCCATCTGGAGGTTGAGTGGGACCATTTAAAGAGATAAAAGTTTTCCAGCCAAGTCATAGACACCATTCTAGCTGCCAGACGGCCCTCAACCACCCGCATCTACAACGCCACATGGGTCGCCTTCTGTAACTGGTCCCACAAATTCCAAATCAACCCCCTCACTCCCTCTGTTGCGCAAGTTCTGGACTTCCTCCAGGAGGGCCTTAACAAAGGATTATCCCCTAACACCTTGAAATGGCAGGTTGCAGCCCTAGCAACCGTTATCTCTATCGCTAATGAAGGTCCCCTCTCTCATCACCCCCGTATTCGGGCATTTCTCAGGGGAGCCACCAACTTACACCCCACTGCGGTTCACCGTTATCCAACCTGGGACCTCAACAAGGTTCTCGTTTCACTCACCAAGCCCCCCTTCAAACCCATTAGGGAGTCATCCCTCCAGTTTCTAATGTTCAAGGTGGTGTTTCTCGTAGCTATCACATCCGCCCGTCGGATTTCGGAGATAGCAGGCCTGTCTATCAGAAAGGATCTATGTGTGTTCCACTCTGATCGGGTAGTTCTCCGGCCCGACCCCACTTTTTTACCTAAGGTTAACTCGGCATTCCACAGAACGCAGGAACTCATCCTCCTGAACTTTTGTCCCAGACCCTCTCGGGAAAGGGAGAGACAGTGGCATACCCTTGATGTGAGGCGCGCCTTACGGATTTACATCAAGCGCACCCAGCCCTTTCGGAAGTCGGAGGCATTATTCCTGTTGTTCCAACCCAAATCACTCAGTCACAAAGTATCCCTCGCCACCATAGGCCATTGGATCAGAGCTGCTATATCGAGATCATACCAAGCACAAGCCCTTCCTATCCCCTCTGGCATAACTGTGCACTCCACCAGGAGCGCGGCTACCTCAGCCGCTTGGGCCACGCAAGCATCAATAACCAACATATGCCGGGCTGCCACCTGGGCATCCCTGTCCCCCTTCATCAGGCATTACAAAATCGCTGTTTTTGCCTCGGCGGAGGCCTCATTTGGTAGACGAGTCCTACAGCGGGTCCTTGAAGATCCAGAGGAGATTCCGAACCAGACAGAGCCCCTCCCGTAGGACTAGCCAAGCTTTGGTATGTCCCACTCTGGATGCTCACAGCAGCTCTATGGAGAAGGGGCATTGGTTCTTACCTGATACGCCTCTTCTCGTGGAGCTGCGTAGAGCATCCAGCCCCACCCTATTGTCACCGTCTGGTGGGGAATCTTGTTTCGGCCAATGGACTGGTTATTAGTTAGGATGAGAACAAGGCCTTTTCCTTCTCGTCTTCGCAAAACTGGGGAACGCTACGGTGGACCACGTGATGGGGGAGAAGCGTTCCTCAATTCAAGCTCAGCCTGTGAGAGCTGAGACTGGAGCACCTCCCACTCTGGATGCTCTACACAGCTCCACGAGAAGAGGCGTATCAGGTAAGAACCAACGCCCCTTTCGATGTGTTTCATTGGAGAATGTAAATTGTGATACACCCAGGGGGTGGGGGGGAAACCAGGGTCAAGGGTGACAGAGAATTATGTGCCTCAGAATCAGTTACACCCAGGCAGTGCCAATATGTTAACTCCCAAATAAAGCCTGTTTAGTTTTGGAAGTTTGGCTCAAGACTCATGATTTAATTGGGGTAACTGCCAGAATCCTGACAGACTAAAGCACTGTGTTAGATTTACCCTGTGAAAGGCTAGGAAAGAGTCCATCTTAGCTCTTTTTCTGCCTACCAAAGTTTTCAAGCTAAGCTGTCTCTTTGCTCCTAGTGAAATGCCCCCTCCTTCCTGGACTCTGGACTATGTTCTACCATACTTTCCTCTCCAAATGGTTGCCAAGCGATTCTAGTACCAGGATACTTAGCAATGTGGATATGTCCTATCCTCTAAATTGCTCCTTGAATTTCAGCCAAATGGAGCTTTAGAATGCATCTTAGTGCCATCTGGTGGATGTTTTTGTATCCATAAAATCCACAAACAACTGCTTTTTGAAAAAATGTATTTTAATCCACCACATTCCCCTCCGTTCTTTCCTTCATCTTTTAATAAGTGTGTTTGCCTTTCAATTTTAAAAAGGATTGGAATTCTAGTGGCTTACATTTTACCAAGGGATGTTGCTTTGAAATGTTTCAGAGAAGAAATGCAATAGAAACATATGTTAAGTAAAATAGCATTAAAATGCATCTTTAAATAATGCATCAACATTATTATTATACCTGTAATTCTTATTGCTACTGTTATTATCTAAAAACATTCCTCCTTGCTACAACAAGATATCCACTATGCCTCATTGCATTGCAAGGAGAAAAAGTCACAGGGATTCCATGGTTTAACCATAAATAAGTAAATAAATAACATGGTGTCTCTAGGATTTGATTATTCTTTGAACATTTTGTAATCAACAGCAGAACTCTTGATCATAATGAAAAACAAAGGACATTTTTCAGTAGCAAATTGCCATGTGTAATGCACAAACTGCAGTGGGATTTGGTCTGTAGTTTCTTGAATCCTTATTTCCTTGATTGGGGTATTCTTTACTGCTTCATTGTTGACCTGATATTAATCCTGGTGTTAATCTTGGTGTTGATTGATGGCAAGGAGGTGTTTTGGTCTTTTGCTTTCCTTTTTAGCTTTTTTATTGTTTCTTTTGAATGGTGTGTATAAGTTATTTATCTCAATGTCCCTGTTGATAGCTACCTTATCCGAATACTAAGCTTCCAGGAATTCTCCAGCATTTTTGGAATTAGCTTGGTCACAGTTTCCCAGTTGAAATTAGGGTTAAGCGTGTTGTGAAATTAAAGAGTTTTTATTATGTCTTTGGACTGCTATTTAGTGTTCATGGATGCACTCTGCTAGTCTTCTGCCTGTCTGTCCTACACAGTGGCAAAAACAAGTGGCTATTATAGTCCTTACATTGTATGTTGTAGATGACTTCTGTTTATTCTTCTGAAGTTACTACCATGTTTCCCTGAAAATAAGACCTGGTCTTATTTTCTTCTTGGCCCCAAAATAAGCACCAGTTCTTATTTTCAGGGAATATCTTACCTGCTTACCTTAGGACCACCGCAGCCAGGCCTACCATGCCATGACACCTCTCATGACTTCTTCTGTGACCACTCGCTGCCAGATACCACATAGTTCATTGCACTGGTGCTGCCGCTTTTGGCAGGAAGCTGTGTGTCATGTCATGCTGTTGCGGTGCCTGCTATTTAAAAGAGCCTTGATGGCACAGTGGTTGGAATGCAGTATTGCAGATTAATTCTGTTTACTGCCAGGAGTTCAACTCTGACCGACTCAAGGTTGACTGAATCTTCTATCGTTCCAAGTAAAATGAGGACCCAGATTTTGGGGGTGATATGCTGACTCTGTAAACTGCTTAAAGAGGACTGTAAAGCATATGAAGCATTATATAAGTAATTGATATTCCTGTTGCTAACCAAACTTGATTCTTCAGCCAACTGATATGTCTAATGTGGTGTGTCTATACATATCAGAACCATGAGCATGAGGGGGCTCATGCTCACAAGGGGGAGTCCATAGGATATGGGGGAAGGATCATTATGACAGAGATAGTGGTACAATTGAAGCTCTCTCTGGTTTTTATCTGAGTTGCACATTGTGTGGGGATCCCTGAGTGCAAAGGTAGAGGAGATAGGTAGACTTAACCAATTTCTGAAAAAAGAAAGGCTGCAATTTTGCACAATGCCACCAGGTGGCACTGCTTCCTACCTGCTTTTTTCTCAGTGAACAAATATTCAAAACAATAGGATTATCAAAGCTGATTGGGAAAGGGGGATGGGAATTTGGAACCAAGGAATTTGATGGGGTCAGTGGAAGGTAAAGGGTCCATTGTGTAGGGATGGCAACCTTCTGATGCCTTAATCTATGAATGAAATGGGTTGATCTCTTTTTGGAAAAGAAACAATCCTAGAGTTTTAGAATGTGGGCTCCTTGGTGCTCTCTGCGTTTGCTTGTTTCCTTGCAGAGTTTCATTATCCCAACTAGGTAACATCATCAGTGCTAGCAAGGAGTGCTGTTTGCTGTACATTTATATTCTGGTGTCCTGCCTGACTGTGTGGGTGGGGAAGGACTTGGAAATTCTTTGTTGGACTGTTTACTGATAGCTCTTTGGCAGTTTCTTGTTTGGAGTCTTGTTTACTTGATTGTTGGTCTGAAGCAGCAGTGGGATTCAATTTTTTTTACTACTGGTTCTGTGGGCGTGGCTTGTTTGTTGCTTGGTGGTCATATGACTGGGTGGGTGTGGCCAACTGGGCAAGGAGGTGCGGCACCTTGGGGCGAGTGAATGTCAAGTTGGTCATGCCCATTCAGTTACATGACTGATGCTGCAGAGACAAGGGTGATTTTCTACATACCTTGTCCCCCTCCCCCACTAAGACAAAAAGCCCAACTAAAGATCATGACTGCCTGCTGAGTCTGCCTGCCGAATGGCGTTTGTTTGGCGGTGGTTTCTGTTTGGTTTTTTGCCAGAAGCCTCTCAGAGATAAATATGCACCGCCAAATCTTACTGTACCTCATTGTTGTGGCCCTGCCTGTTGCTGCTGCTGGTGCTGCTGTGGTGTCTGTCTGGCTCAGGTCAACTGTGCAGAGCAAGAGGGGAAGCCCAGGCACTCACCTCATAGCAAGTGACTTCACGCTCTCTCACTCCGGTTAGGCACTCCCAGCGTACCCAAGGAGTGTGCAGGGAGGCAGACACGGTGCAGCTGTGTTTGGCCTGGCCAGCCAGCAGGTGGCTACAAGTCTCAGGGCTTCTTGCCCCTCTTGTCGTGAGATGCCTGCGGCTGCTGCGCACTTTGTTCAGGGCATCTGCAGTCCAGCAGCCACAGCGAAACGAGCACGCCCTCTTCTATGTGCTGGGCCCAGCAAGTCCAAGCAGTGGAGCCGGAGATCAGTAGCTGCCCCAAATCGGCCGGCTGGTCTCCTCCTCCTCGGCCATACAGAACAAGCAGAGAACAGGCAGAGAAAGAGGAGACCAGCCAGCCGGTTGGGGGAGGCTTTCTGCGCCATGAAAGAGACAGCTACTGATCTCCGCTTCGCTCCGCTTCTCCAACGGTCTGGTGCCGCCCTGTTCTATGTGCCAGCTGCTCAGATTTGCTGGGCCCGGCACATAGACGAGGGCGTGCTTGTTTGGTGCACTTGCTGGACTGCAGCTGCACTGAAAACAGGTGGGATTCAACTGGTGTTACTACCGGTTCAGTGACTATGTGACTACGTTTAGAGATCGGGACTACGATCTCGTAACATTTTTCTAATTTTTCTAATGGAAACCAGGACACAGTGATAGCTCTAACCGAGAGATCATTATTTTTACCGAAGTCTCAGCAAAATGCTGAAGGAAACTCAACTAACAGGCAAAATTGCCAAAATTTCTGAGAACATATTTTGTGCTTAGCTTCTTGAAATGCAGAACCCTGTTTCCAATTAAGCTGATTTCCGATAGATTTTTTTTCTTTACAGAGAAAATAAAACTAAAACTGATTGAAAGGGTTTGTGGAAAGCCTGTGGATGAAAATGCAGAGAATCAGGAAGGAAGGGCCCTTAAAGATTGCTAATAAAAGTGAGCATTAGTCTTAGGCTTCCCAGTGTCTGGGTGGAAAATGTAGTTTTATACCTTGCCACTGGAGCCACCTATTTTAGTATTGTCAGCAGCAACTGCTAAATCATATCTGATTCCACATAAACTAGAATAGTTTCTCCCAAAATGTTAAACCATAAATGAACAATGCTTCATCCATCATGTTCAATTTCCAATCAGCAAAACACATTACATAGTAGTTTAGCAGATGTTGGTTAGAATTACAAGGAAATCTACAAAGTTTTCCAATACATGGAAGAATTTCTACCTGGAGAAGACAGGATTGAATCCTGAGCTTTTGAACATGAGTTCTGCCACTCAGCAACTGTATTTGAAAGAAGGAGTTATATGAACAAAGAGGTATACTTCCCCACTTAAATCTAAGCCCAGACTATCAAAAATGACCATGAAAGAACAGCAGTTAGATGATTGGTCAGAGAATCCCAGAAAAGCTGTACAGTGGGGTCCTTGGTGCTCTCTGAACTTGGTGGTTTTCTTGCAGATACTTCATTGCCAAACTGGGTAACATCCTAGTGCAATCAACAATGCACTGATGATGTTACCTAGTTGGGTAATGAAATGTCTGCAAAAAAACTACCAAGCTCAGAGAGCATCCTCATTGTCATTGTCATTGTCCTCCTCCTCCTCCTCCTCCTCCCACTGATGATGTTATCTAGTTGGGTAATGAAACATTTACAAGAAAGCCACCAATCTCCGAGAGCACAAAAAACCCCATTGTCCTCCTCCCCCTCCTCCCCTCTCTTTCTCCATAAAACCCACTCCCTTTTAGCACTGAGGATGTTACCCAGTTGGGTAATGAAATGTTTGCAAGAAAAACACCAAGTTCAGAGAGTACTAAGGACTTTGCAGTCTAACCCTGAGCTACAAATATTATCTCCTATTGGTAAACTCATACACTTAGACTTCCAAATATGACAACGTCTAAATGTCTAGAATCTAGAATGTCTGGATATGAAATCTTGGTAATCCCATGTTATTGTAGGGAAAGCTTTGCAACATTCAAAGATGAAGAAATCCATAATTTCATTTTTCTACCTTAGCTTGGCTTCTCATTCCAACTGATGTGCTCTATTTGAAAAATGCTGCCTTGAAAAAAAAAAGACCATAAAAAAGGAAAGAATCTGGAAAGAGCCTACAAGGATTAGCAGGTGGGTGATGAATAGGACCTCCCCTTTCCAAAAATATCGCCATCACGTTAACACAATGCGCTTTTCACTGAATAGGCGGTTCTTTAACTCCTAGAGAGCTGGTTGGGAAGGGCTGGAATGTGATGTGACGTCTATTTTGCAGTCCACACCATTCATTTTTGCTTCTATTATTGCATGGAATTTAGCTGGAACAGAAATCAGATGAATTTCCTTCATCCTGTTGCTGTTTAGCCCAGAGTCAAATGTAATGGTAGCCTGGCATTTGAGAGCAATTTAATTTAGGGGCTTGGTTCTGGTTGAATGTCTGGTATTCTTTTTTTCTTTTTTCCCCTCAACGTTGTTTATTTTGCTTCATTTGCTTATCAGGGAAGAGTAGCAAGGCATTTCATTTTGTCTTTTGTCTTAGCCTATTGTATTCAGCCTTATTTGCCTTTGCTTCTTCTATAAAAATTTGCGGTTGCTGTTGAGGTTACAAATGGAAATGGAATCTATTGTTCAAATGCAGCTCGCATGTAAATGGGCAGGCGAAGAAAACTAGACATATGAGATTTCTCCAAAAAGTCAGCTTTTTTAAAGAGAAGAGGAGCCTCCTGGGTTAAATCTAGGATTAGACAAGATTTTTTTTTCAAATATAAGCCATATTCTGAGTGTTCCAGTGTAGCCATATGGCTATTGGGATCCCTGAGAAGTGACACTTTGCCTAATCAGTCAGAATAGAGCTGGAAGGCACCTTGGAGGTCTTCTAGTCCAGCCCCTTGCTGAAGCAGGAGACCATATACCATTTCAGACAAGTGGCGGCCCAATCTCTTCTTAAAGACCTCAAGTGATGAAGCACCCACAACTTTTGAAGGCAAGCTGTAGCTAATTATTCTCTCTGTCAGGAAATTTCTCCTTCATTCTAGGTTGGGTCTCTCTTTAATAGTCTTCCATCTATTACTTCTTGTCCTGCCCTCTGGTGCTTTGGAGGACCCCCTCTTCTTTGTGGCAGCCCCTCAGATCCTGGAAGATTGCTATCATATGTCCCCTAGTTCTTCCTGGGCCAAGGTCTGCATTATCTTATGAAGGGCTACTGGCAAGGATCCACTGCCCTCATGAGAACTGGAAACAATATATTTGAAAAATGACTGGCTCATCTTATCCAAAGGGCTTTAAACAAAAATTGAAGGGGTAGAGCGGGCAATCTTCATGATCTATAGAACCTAATTCCAAGCAAAAACCACTAGATAACTAATCACATAAGAAGGAAGGGAGTAAAGAGAAAAAAGAAATAAAAACAGAAAAACAGAATGAAATAGAGAGTGATGGAAAGGATGGAAATCCCGGTTACAAAGGAGGCGTTATAAAAAAACATACCCAAGACCCATAAAAACTCAAATGCCTGTACACTAATGCTAAAAGTTTAGGGAACAAATTGGGGAAACTTGATGTATTATTAGCAAATGAAGACAGATATGATATAGTTGCCATTACTGAAAATTGGTGGGATGAAATTCATGATTGTAATGTACTGATAGAAGGATATAAGCAAAATAGACCTAACAAAAGAGGGGGTGGAGTTGCATTATACATAAAAGATCACTACACTTCTACAGAAATATACAAAACCAAGGATGAAAGCCTCCTAGTATCCATATGGGTCAATATAAAAGGGGGAGAAATGACATTGCTATAAGTGTATACTACAGGCCACCCAACCAAGCAGAAGAAATAGACAAACTCTTTGCTAATCAGTTAACAAATGCATGTAGGAAACATACCACAGAAATAATGGGAGTCTTTAACTACCCTTATATCAACTGGGAGACAAACTCTGCAGCAAGTGGGAGATCAAAGAGATTTCTAATCAACTTAACTGACAACTTTGTCATCCAAAAGGTAGAGGAGAGAACTACAGGAAAAGCTATACTGGACCTAATTCTTACTAATAGAGAAGAAGTGATAGAGGGAGTTGAAGTAGCCGGAACTCTGGGTAAGAGTAATCATACTGGAATTCAATATAATGTAAACACAAGTTATAGAATATAATCCAACCAGTATCTTAACCTTTAAAACAGCTGATTTCAACAAACTCAGAGACGCCAAAGCAAAATTTCATGGATGAAAATCCTAAAGGGGAAAACAGCTAAAAAACAATGGGAAACACTGAAAAATATGATAATAAAAGCCCAGTCCAACACAGTACCACTAAAAAAGAAAAACAAGCAATCCAAGAAGAAACCAGCATGGTTGCACAAAGATCTCTGTGATAAACTGAAAGACAAAAAGGATAAGCCAAAGGTGTTTTTTTCAAAGGGTGTTTTGAAAAATACCCTTTTCAATGGTGTGGGAGTAGGAATGCATTCCCAGAGAAAAAATTGCAGACTACAGGAACCAGGAGCACTACTCAGGTGACCCTGAGGAGACACATAAACCTCCAAGTGCTTTAACGACCCAAAGGATGCAAATGACCAGATGTCTGCAAGGAATATAAATCCTTCTATTCCCCACTATCCTGTCAAGAGCTGAAGAAGTTTCTTAGATGAGAAGTGTTATGTATTAGCATACTTACCTGTAATTGGTCAGTCCGTGGCAGCGGGAAATTTGAAGAGCCATCACTGGCCACAGCCACGAGCAGCCCAAGTATAAAAAGGGCTGCTACAGTTTCTTCGGGCACTCAGTCCTAGGCGGAAGTAAAATAATTGGAAATCATGCTAGTGTCCTGAGTCTCATTCCTGCGACTTCACACTGGCGACAAAAGTGGGATACTGAGACAAAGGGAACCAGTGAGCATGTGGCGAGCGACAAACACCGGCAACGCATTGAAATGGCTAGAAACAACACGCCACCCGCACCATTCAATCCAGCAACTGAAGACTGGGAATCGTACATCGACCAATTCCTCATGTTCCTCGAAGGGAGTGACCTCCATAATGTATCCGAACACAGGAAGAGAGCCGTCTTCCTCACTCATTGCAGTCCTGTGGTATTTAAGATGGCCAAAGCATTAGTGGCACCCACTGATGTGAAAACGATGGCCTGGCTGGACCTGGAAAGAATACTGAGGGCTCACTATACACCAACCATTTCCTGCCTAATCAAAAGATATGAATTTTATCGGCGCGACCAAAAAGAAGGCGAGAGCATCGGTGATTTTGTTGCAACGCTGAGGGACATTGCTGGGCCGTGCGAATTCCTAAACATGGATGAAGCCATGAGAGACCCAGTGGTCCTGGGGCTAAGAGATCTTACACTCCAGGATCAATTATTAACAAAACCCAAAATAACACTCCAAGAAGCAATAGAAAAAGCTACTGCAGCAGAAGCAACGCAGAAATCGGTGGCTGCCATGCAGAAGATGAACAAAGCACCACAGGAAACCCCAAAAAACACTGCCACAACCCACCACGAGGATATCGAGTCCCCATCAGAAGACGACGAGGAAGAAGAAGAGGTAAATCAACTCCGGTCAGAACAGGGCAGAAGGGACCGGAACGGAAAAAGGAAAAAACTTCATTGTGCCAGTTGTGAAGGGAACCATCCACGTTCTGAGTGCCATTTCCTAGATGCAATCTGCAAACATTGTGAATGGCGGGCACATATTGCTAGGGCATGCCGAGCAAGGAAGAACTATGGCCCTAGACAAAGATGGAACACACACACCCCAGAGAGAGAGAGAGAGAGAGAGAGAGACAAACAGGGAGCTGTTGGAACCAAGACAACAGAAACAAGCGAGGGAAAGAAACAAACAACGGAAGAGAGGAAACACACCAGACGGTGACCATTGGACACTCCAACATGACAAATGCCAGGAAAGTATATGTCCAAGTCACAATAGAAGGCCAGCCATGCTGGATGGAAGTGGACTCAGGCTCATACTTGTCAATGGTATCATGGGACACCATAAAAAGACATAAGCCGGGAAGGACTCAAAAGACAAACACTAATACTGAAAGACTACCAGGGGAACAAAATCCCCATAGTAGGTACTGGACAATTCAAAGTAACATTCAAAAAATACACCAGAGTCCTTCCACTAACCATAGTCGACCGAAATTGACCTAGCCTATTGGGACTCGAATGGT